ACGACTGATCTTTCTGGTGTGAATGAAAATTGAAATATTTTGTAGATATGAACAACAGTGAAATCTGTTAATCTACACATTTATGACAGTTAATTCTTGAACAAAATCCCATTAGCTGACAATAAAATTCACTGAAATATTATTATCCAACTGGTCAAATAAGATCTTTGTATAGATGACATAAGAGAGTTATCCACTAAGCCATTGAATGATGGTATTCACTCCTTTTATGATGAGAATGGTATAATTTTAATGATATAGCTTGTAATTCTCCGTCATTAATCTCACTGCTAACCCCTACTCATCATTAATACTAAGATTAACATAGAACCTGGTACAAAAGTCCATCACTTCAGGTTGTCACACTTCAAATTTACAAAAAATGCATAACATAAAAGTAGACAAGTGTTTTTAAACCTGACAAGAACTTAATTATTATATGTATAGTCACTAGCCAAATAGAACTATTTACATAAAATAAAAAAGACATTTAACGGAAAGTCTAAATACTAAGAATAGAGATAGTTCATGGATTTGGCTGGTAAGACTGAGTGAGAATTAACTAATTTTTCAGTTATAATGATCAAGGCAATTGATTTCTCTCTATTGTTTTAAGCAGTTGAAACCAAGTGGCACAAATATTTTCAGGCTATACAGTCTACCTAAATTTCATGAACAAAGTATACGAGCAATACTAATATAGATATATGAAATTTGTAATATTTCGCAGTGGTCAAACGGCTAACCCAACTAATAAAACCAGTAACAAAGATGAGTTATAAACAGCTCTAAAGATGTTTTTGAGTTTATCAATTGAATAAATGACAAAGGTATGCATGATAAAGTTATGCCATGTTTAGACGTAATATCAATTTACACGAACATTCTGTTATTGGAAACTGTCCATTATGCGTGTGAAGTAACTATATGAGATGAACTGAACATTGATTCAGTGCTAAATTACTTCAAACTATACTGAATTATGAAAGTTTGATTTCTTTTCAATAACAAGCTCCCCAAATGAACCAATGTTTGCTAACGTATAAACATCTAAGTTATAAAAATACATACCTTAGACAGTGTGTGAACACGACTGATACATCTTTCAGGTATATGAATGATACTTTCACTTCGTGATAAATATATAAATATTGATCATTAGGCTACGAACTTCAGGAAACCATGTTCTGGGGTAATTTTTTCTTATGAGGTGGGATATTAATTGAAAAAAATCTCTGTTAATTGTTAGCCGAAAACTATTATAAGGAGAACGATATAAACACTTCTATAGTTTTGTGTCTCTATGGAGAAAATTAAAACTGACAAAATATCTAGTGAACAAAACAAAAATATTCTTGATAGTTGTACTCAACGGAGAGGTGAATGAACCACCAAATGTTAATCAAGAAGATGCATATCCTAAGTGTCTTATCATGTAGAATATGATAAGTAGAAAAATATATACTGAGCTGTTGACATTAAGTTCATCTTCTCAGTACTTCACTAAAAATCCAACCTATCTACTATAGACGATATGACTTCGTCTTTTACAAACACCTACTACTTTTTCCATTATGATAATGGGGAAAAGTAACGTGCTCGGAGAGGGAACAGTTAAATTCCTTTATTCTTCCAAGACTCTGTGCTAACTTTGGTATCATATGTGACTCAGTTATAAGCTGCTACAATAAACTACATAAGATTTTATGAAATTATGATACTGGTTAATATTTTTTTCTATCTTGACCTAATATTCATAAACTACAAAGATGTTTGTAATCTTCCAAGATTCAATTTCTCTTTTTACACAAATTAAGGAGTCAACAACTAGGTTGATTGCAGGAAATTTATTGATGGAGAAAATTTGCCTCAGAATATGAATAACTACTTGGTGAAAGTGTTTTGTGAACAGGTAATGTGTACGATCACCTTCGAATAGCACTGGTAACTGGAAGCTTTATACAAATGAAACAATACTTAGTAGAAGAACACTTCTATCCGATGAAATTCTATGCATTAACAGATTGTAAGAGTGAAAAGAATAGACAGTTGTAGTCTTTAATTTACTCTCTACTTTACTTCTTTGAAACACTGTTTACTTATACTTGGATTATATTTTCTTTATCACTTTCTAAACTACTACTTTCCTTTGTCTGACTTCAACTGACTTGAACCACTGTGGTATTTCTGTTCATTTTCTGTTGAACTAAAAGGATATGAGTATAGTAGACTCTAATATATATATATATATATATATATATATATATATATATATATATATATATATATATATATATATTAGCGTCTCATAAACAATACTACACTGAATAATAAAATATAGTTAATCAGCTAACTAACCAATCAGTGATAAGTTAGTAAAGAAGAGTTGATCGACTTTAAGATATTAAAATTTTTGATAACCAGTCACAGAGAATGAGATAGTAAATCAAGAATAGAATAACTGCACACAATAAAAGTGATAGAGTTTAAACAAGCAATTACTTAATTGATAGGTTGCATAATAACAATGGTTAAAAAGAATGAATGCCTTCTATTATTTGGCCAATTGTTTATACTAAGAATGTAGGAATAATAAGATACGGAGAAAGAAACATTGGAGGACATATAGATAGAAAAACCTAGCCGAGGTTGGTGGTGGAAATGTCTACAAAAGTAACTGGTTTCACAAAAAATCGATAAACGCTGGTAATAAACAACCATTTTTATCCATTGCAAAATACATCATTGATACAGGTCATAGGAGTGATATTAAAACAGCCTTTGCAATTTTGTATAAAAAATTTTAGACATGTATACTTAAATTTGTTCAAGTGCTAGTCATACACAAATTTGAGCTCCTCTTATGTATTCAAAAACTGATTCTCCCTACACTAAACCTACCTTGGTAACATTCACTTCGTTTTCTAATGATCAACGGGCAATTACAAGTATCAAGAAACGATTCATGAACGTATGATTAAACGCGATGAAAAAAAAGGCTCAACAGTCTGTTTACGAACACCTAAGTTCATTTAATTCAGATTGTCATGATATCTCAATCCAATCTTTAAATGAAATTCCCGAAACAGAGTTGTTTGATACTTCTAAATTACTGTTGATAAACAAAGTGGGATTATTCGTGCTCTCGTACCCTGGTGGGCAACACTTTTGCGTTTGAAGTGATGGACACTGGGTTCTAGTCCAAGTTGGAACAGCATCACTCACTGGGGTGCAGTCACATCTTACTGATGAGTCCCGAATAGGACGAAACGCGCATTCTGGATTCCAATGCTAGTCAACAAGATGAGTACAAATTCCTGAAACACTATCGCTTTTCGTAATATCCAAAATATTGCTAATTAGCCTGGGTCAATGTGAAAACATAGGATAACGCGAAGCATAAATTGGGATGTTGCGCTGACATTTTCATCAATAAATTCGAAACCAGTAAGAAGGGGATAGACTGTCCTATATCAGAACAATTAAACAAATGTTGAATTATTAGGTCAGTGTTAAACATATCAATGAATACAATACAGAATGCATGCCACAAAATAAGTCCTAATGGCTTAGATTTTATGTGAGAACTGAAATTCATATACGCCTGAAGACGGTAGGATAAATAAATAATTGAAACAGTTCGTTCATATATCGACTTAGGGTATAATATCAACTAGATTTATCACTGACTTTATCTGACATTTATCAAGTGAAGACAGGTAATTTCAGAAAAATGACAAGTGAATTTATCAGTTGTGAACGAAATATTCCGAGCCACGCATTGGTAATTAGTCAATACGCATATGGTAGACGAAATTACGTAGTTTTCCTTTTCTTTTTTTCATGATTGACAGACAACAAATGAAGGTAGAAGCTGGTGTAGAAGAGCATCACTCCAAGTTGTCACACTTCACAGTAGACCACAAATAAAAGGTCGATAGGAAACCAATGGTATTAAAGCATGCAAAAGCGCATGAAGGTTAATGAAAGTATTTAAGATCTGAAAGATAACAAAGTGTATACACCTAAGCAACTGTCCTCAATTTCGAGCAATATAATTAAAAACCTCCTAGCACTGAATCCTATCGCAAACTTAATGTTGGTAAACTGAAAAACAAGCCACTTTTACAGTGCAATAGCGCAACCTCACTGAGAACATAGCTCAGAAGTTGCAGTTACATGAAAATAGTTTCTTCGAAAGTTTTGACACTTTAGTTCCCTTGACCACTAGTTAAAAGGATTGGTGGGTCTGTATAAAGACCCATTAAGGAGCTCTGGGAACGAACCAACCAAGAACCTATCACGCAACAAATATGCAGGAGGAAGTGGAGATGGATTGGCCATGCACTGAGAAGGCCGACTGAGGACATTACGCGTCAGGCCCTCGAGTGGAATCCCCATGGGGAGCGACGAGTTGGACGTCCGAGGGTGACATGGAGGAGGTCGTGCGAGGAGGAAATGAGAGCTTCTGGGCTGTCGTGGAGCCAGGTTCAAAAGATCTCAGAGGACAGAGGTCACTGGAGACGTGCTACTGAAGCCCTATGTTCCACTAGGAACCCAAGGGACTGGTAATAATAATAATAATAATAATAATAATAATAATAATAATAATAAAGGTCCATTTACAGTCAGCCATCAGGCTTCGTTCAGTTTCAATACACAATGAATCAAGTTGGAATTCTGTTTGATAAAGCTACCGAAATCTGTTCTGACAGCACATCAGAATATGAAATGAGAACTGAGAAACAAATCTTAAGACAGAAATCTTGAGTCACCAACACGCACACCATAGATACACAAAGGATACGAACTGTTTTTACAGCTCCACGAAAGTCAGTACATATCAATTTAGCATTTAAAAGAAACGATGTATTTGATGTCATCAAGTGAAGCGTAAATACAAACATAAGACCAAATTACTACGCTGCAAACTCAACGTTTCTTAGCACCAAGAAACAGGTACTTCAACAATCCAGAAAACCTATCTTCGACACTTGTGTATAACAGTCTGAATGTTTTTGGGGCAGCAGATACATAACTTACAAAGAGAGGCAGCAAGATTTAGAACACCCCAATGGCTAGTCCATTAAAAAGTACAGATTCTAGTTTGCAAAATGACACTTTGTATGCAGAAGCAAATAGCAGTTATCTCGTATATTCGTAAAATGTGTTGTTAACTTTGATGACTGGCAGGGTAATCAAGAACGCGTGTTTCGTCCGATAAGGGACTCGTCAGTTGGGAGGTATTTACTAGTTAGTTAGGTTCTTGTCTTATTCCTACATTCCTTGCCAGCTTGCTTCACTTAAAGAATACAATTATTACTACTACTCACTCCTTATTATGTTGTTATCAGCTATTTTATTCACAGTAACTAAACTCTAATAAATGCAATTTCCCATTCAGTTTTCACATCCCTTTTAGCTTTTTCACATATCTTAATACTGCTCAGAATTCGCTATTTCGTTTGGCTTTACCTTTTGTCACAGCTTAAAAAAGATAAGCGTGTATCTCTCTGGATTTCATCATGGTACGTATAATCAAATATGTAGAGTATCCAACTGAAGAGTTTCCCCGTACTTTTTCAATTCATTGAATCCAAGTTTGAATACTTGTATTGAGAAAGAAATGTTCTGGATCTTATGATTGGCATAGAACCATACGCTCATTATCACCAGGAGGAAAGTTTTTTCTTCATTCAAAATACCACTTTCTCGGTCACAAGTATTTTAAGATTATAAAATATATGCTAGGAGGGGATGATTGTAAAATGGCATATATTTATGCTATCTTTACATGATACAGGACACATTTACAGATATTTACTGAATCATGTTTCGGACACAAGTTATCAACAGTAAACATATATAATACCCTGGTGGATACATCAAAGATTATGCAATTTAATGACTGTAGTAAGTGATCACTTTGTTATCACTTGTTGTCTTCTACGCAAAACAAAAAGATGAACCTTAAAAGACGAACTCCTTACTGTTTGTGTTTCAATATCCTCATGATTATCATCATCACGTGATTTTCTTTCCCAGTGTTCCTGTGCCAAGTACACGTATATAATAAAGATACATAAATCAAATCATTTTTAGGAGAGAAAAGTAACATAGTACGTCAAAACGTGAACCAAAGCAGTAAGTTTAACTTCACTCCTAGGAATGCAACTATATCCCATAAAATGTATTACCCAATAATGATTAGTACTATTTTAAATGCCATACAACACGCTGACCTCTTATTAGCTCCTTTAAAACTGCCCTCTTGTTACAACAAAATCAAATCATGTAAATCATCCTGACGGCTATTTTTGCAAATTTCTTAAATCATACCATAACTACTGGACATATTCAGTACTACTGCTGTTTCTTCCTCCTAACGGCTAGTGTATTTGTTATCCTCCTTAAATATCCATTGTGGCTGGGAAAGAAAAAAATTGATACGACTTGCAACCGTAACTCAGTTTGGCTACAGAAAATGTCTTAGTCCCCTGCAAGTCAATAACCAGAATTTTGAGGGAGTTGTGGAGATTCGGAAATATCCCAAGTTGTTATTCATCGTAGACTGACATCAGTTGGAGGAACAACTGATGTTGATATCTAACTGGAATAAACTAACCACATTGACGGATCCTACGACAGTGGCATAACCACCTACCTTCACATCGGTCAGTTTGACGACATTAAAGTAGGGACCACACTGATACGCTACAACTAACGTTACATGTCGATTGACAGTTTGGATGCTTCCCTTTAAACTATTGCTACATCCTTGAAATTGTCTTTTCATTCCGAAGATTTTAACATATTATGCCTCACATACAAAACGCAGCGTAATGTCTCCTATTTATCAGTATATAAAGGTCTAGTTAAGTTATCATTATTTAACACATGGTCAACCTTACATAAATTTGAATACTATTCTAATTGACACCCTACCCAAAGTGAAGTACTGCTAAGAAAAAACAAGTGAAAGGACACTTCTATTTAGCTAGAACTGCTCGAGAGAGCAAGACATTTAGTTGCATGAGGATAATTTTGAGGGAGACTGTTCAGAACCCATTTAGCTGGACTATGTACTCTGAGTGTGCAACCGTTAGTCAGCAGAAAGGAGAAGCAAAATTGTGGTCGATTATACGAAGATGGGTACTCGGTAAGACAGACAGTATGAACACTCTGCCACATGGTTCAGCTAACCATGAGTAATCTCAGTATTTCTCAGCTTATTTCAAACCTGATTGTATTTTAGTAGTAGAAAAGTGTTTCACAAATTTCCACCATAATCTGAATTCTCTCACAAAAAATACTTATTATCGAGTAAGTTGGCAATGGGGCAATGACAAAGTATGATGCAATCATATATTTCTTGAGTGAAAGATATTAAACAAGTGGACTGTATTGGGACGCTTGTCAGAGCAGAGTAGAGACAATTTAAAAACTGCATCCAGTAAAACAGTGAAGGATCACTACGCTTGTCAGAGATACCCTGTACTATTTTTACGAACGCATTTGCTGGTAAGATAGCATGTCAGGACAGTTGGTTCAATTTTCTTTGGGAATTATAAATCAGTCAGATGGATCTCCGTCGCATTGTTTACAGCTGAATTCCAACCCTCGAGATAATAAGGTTCACACCAAACGACACATTTTGTTCTCTTGCTTTTGTGAAATTGGATAAATCCCACTAATGTGCCTGAGTGAAAGGTTTCACGTTGATAAGCTTTTCTGTCCCAGGACAATAGCTAGAGATCAGGATACAGTTACATATCCTTCAAATTACCGCTGTAAGAGCTCTCACCATTTACGACATACTTATGGTAAATTTCCTCCTCATGTCTTCTATCATCCTCTTCAATCATTTATAAACGTCGATTTCTTACAGCTATGAAAAGCTTTATATGTTCGCATCATTTGCACCCTGAAAACATTAAAAGATTTCAAAATGTTTTTTTCCAGTAAAACGTGGTACATTCAGACTTTATTTGATTACCCTTATGGGTTTACAATGAATAAAACGTATTATTTATGAGAACATTCGGACGTGAACTTGCCGACTGAGATGACATGCAATGCACGGACTGCACAGATAAAACTGAAATGACCATAAATAATAACTAGTACCTTACAATTCAGGGGTATTATATAGGGATAAGAGTGAACAGAATGAAGAAATACTTAACAGATTTACGAAGTTCAGTAGAAGTCTCCAACTAAATGTCCTACATGCTTGATAACACACCATGATGTAATACAACGATGCAAACTGAAAACGAATGAAACATCCCAACAGGGATACAAAACTTAACTTCATGGATGGTGGGAAAATGAGTAACTTGAAAGCTAACCATTAAACTGTAAACACGACAGCCAGCAGGTGGTCGAGACTCGGTAGCAGTATTCAGGTAAGGATTGTGGGGCGAATGCTAGTACACCTACTCAATGAGCTCGAATACAACAAAAGAAAATACGGTAAATCGTCCCACTTTAGCAGTGAGGGAGACAAGTTTGAATCAGCGACAGGACATACGTTTTTTCATGGTTGCAGATAGGCCTTGTTGATGAGTGCCGAAACTCATATAAAGGGACTCTTACCGATTGGTTGCCAACATAAAATAATAGAGGTAACTGAAAAACGAGCACCAGATGAAATTAGAATGCGTTGAAAATGCTGTTAAGCCATATTCAAAGCAATCACTCCTGTTTCTACATGTCGACATTTTGCTTAAACCCTCAAATGGCAAATACTCCCAAGGTTGGAAGCACTTTTTCTTCCGGTGTTTGGTGGTGACCTGCATCAGTATCGGATCCGTATTCTAGATGGTGATTCATATCAGCATTCCATGGGATTCTTGATTACTCATAACTTAGTTGCTGAGGTAAAGGTTAGTTATTGCTTTACGCAGCCGTCTTCCAATAAGAACTATGTACTTCAGCAAAAACATAAAGTATCAAGGAATGATGCCATTTCTGTCCTGATTGGTGTTGTATAGTGAATAATGAAATAAAAATGTACTTTCTGATCTCGTAACATTACTAAGGACAATCTCCTCCGGTTGGAGTCAACTTGAAATAAAAAGATCATCTCATTAGGACTCGTCAACAGGGAGCTTTTGTAACCCTAAGGGAGCCGACGCCTCTTCAACAATCTAGACTGGAATCACTCAATACTGCAATCAGAGACGTCACAACACCTATTCAGGCGCGGCATTCAGATTGAGATTATTCGAAGGAAACGAGGCGCAAGAGGATCATCCAAACCTTAATTTACCCAACCTTTCCAAAAGACTTTTGAATAGCCGAAACTGAGATTTGGAATCCAATTGATATCATTCAGAATCGATGACAGCAGCGCAAACGTTTTCTACTAGTTATAATATCACACTTTACCAACCACTTCATTCTCTCTTTTGTCCTGTGGTTTTCTTAGACCACGAACGATATTACTTCCATTTCTTTGTCTCTTGTTTTGTTGCCTTGTATTTTGATGTGTCGCAACCAGAACTACTTCTCAGTAAAGACGGTACCCAAGTTGTTTTTCTTTCGGCTCGTTTATATTCACCTTCAGTCACATTCGACGTATGCGGATTGTGTAACAACCTTCTGATTGTTACTTGGAAGATAGGGATCTGTGACGCAGAAAACAAGTCAGAGACATTTGTAGCAATGGCATTTTCCAAAAGTGAACCATAGTTTAGATACACCATGATTGATGCTTTTACGTTATCAAGTGCTTCAGCATTCCAAAAAGCAGTTTCTCGGAATGAGGATGAAAATCATTTATCACTTCAAATATCACTTTCACCCTATCTTTAACAGTACATAGCTTCAGCAAGCACTTGAACGAGGTTGTAGTGACATAAAAAGATAAAACTGACAACAGAGAGGGTAAACGGTTCAACATTTGATAAATGAAGCCAATTTAGTGCGGCGCCTAAACTTCGTTACTCCAAAATAATAGCAACAAGGGATTTAGCACTACTGCGCAATAATCCAGGACGTTACATTTCACATGAGTATACCAAGATACAAGGCAGAAAAGATATAACTGGAGGATATTGAAAGCCGTCAGAAAAGAGTGAGTAGAGCAGATGGCAAACGCGAAATTTAGCATAAGTATGTATGCACCTACGGCTTATATTGAACATCAAGTTCTCAACCATCGATATCATATAGAATCCAGCTACGAAGCCCATGTTTCTCATACGGACCATACTAGTGATAAGAGACTCTATACACCGATACGTTTTAGTGTTGCAACGTTTAACATTTTTCCAATGCAAACCTGCTTCAGCCAGCATTCAAGTAAAAGATAATTGGAATATCCTAGGCATCTCATTTAGTGAAGGTTTACAATCTTGACTGACTATTGGTTTTAGTTGCTTACTTTCGCCAAAGATGAAAGTATGAAAAGCGAAGTGATCTCATCAGTGAAGTATTTCGCGAAAGATAGCTAAAACTGTCAAAACGTCCAGACCTTCTAATGTCTGTGGTACGTAAACTCATTTAGGCTGCCGATAACTTACTCATGATTTCCTGAGAAGTGGCTTGATATGAACAGCTGGATAAGTTAACTGAGAAACATGCTTATACTTACCAATTACTAGCAGGTGTTCAGAAGTTAGATGAGAGGATTTCTTGACATACATTTCACCTACAGTTCTTAACTTCCAAACATACAAGTGACAGCCATTTATTAGTGTCCATTGTGTACCAACATTGCATGAAAAACCAATAGCACATGACTATAATTTCAACTCGGCCTTCCAGCAAAAATATGTGGTGGGAATGTTTGACCATGGACTATAAAGACAACTACTACTCCCCCAAAAACACAACTCTACCTACAGTGAACACATTTTTGGATATCTTATTGATAGCAGAAACTACTCGAGTTTCATGAAGCTGAAAACATAGAAACAAGTACAAAGCGTAGTAACGCTAGGCGCAATCCCAGGTACTTTGCTGTATGTACAAATTGACAAACTACTGGACATCACGAAACTAGATAGTGGTTTCAGAAAATCTCTTGACAGGGGATATGTAGTGAGATAGTTGCAGCGCTGATGGGACTTCTTCACCGCCAATGACCTAGAGTTACAATAATTAATAACTTCGCACAGTTGCGGCCCCAAGGAAATCTATTGGATGCATAGGATCACTGCTTAATTGACAGCAATATCCCCCATCCAGTTCATAGTATCTCAGATCCAAAATTGAGAACTACAGAAGCGTCAAGACCCGCATGTGAGTGAAAGCTTATGCAACATGCTAAGTTGGCTTGAACCCGCATTGTGGACGTCATAACGAGCTGAGAAGTGAGTAACTCAATGCACTTGTGGCGCGCGGAATCTTGCGAAGAGGTTCGGTACTCAACTTATCTCTTTGATTTCGACAAATTTGAGACGTCAAACGGGAGGTAGCGTAGCTAGAAGTCAGCCAAGGAATGCACAACGGCGGAGACCCAACTTCCACTTCAAGCAATCGTCTAAAAACGAATACCTGCGCGTCATCTAGTTTAGGAGACAGACAAGCACAGAAACCCATAAGAGCATATCACGTAAGACCAGTTTGTATCATTATGTAACCCAGTTCAAGTCAACATACTTCACCCCTGAACGCAAGAACCAAGGATATGAAGTACCAAGTGAATAATAACCTCCTAGTAACTCCTGGCCTCAGTGAACTACATCGGTCTACAGTTATCAGAATAAACCGTTACAACAGCAAGTAGCATGGATCTATGATGGAAGTTTCAGTCGCAAAACTTTACACAAGCGTAACCTTATATACCCAGGCTATTCAAATCTCAAGTATGCATATGTATTGAGCTGTCATAGTACCCGTATCGTATTCATGATAAAAAGCTGGCATAGTGAATATGATGGCTTAACTTCACCATGTTTCCGCTTCAGCCGAAGAAACTTACGAAGCGACTGATGCATTCCCTCTTACAGCAGAGAAAACTGACTTCAGTGACTCATGAACTAGTGATTGGATGATATTCTAACCTATCAGGAGTGACTTTCGACCTGTAACATATCACCAAGCACAGGAACCAAGAAAATGTCTTTGAAGTCCCCACTTTACATCACTCAACTTGTTTTACCCTAGGTATCGGTTGCAGGTGCATAAACACTATGAAAACGTGATGCGGAGAACACAAAGTTTTAACAGGCTACCCAGCCTACTTGTCACTAAAGACAAGCAGAGATGCAGAAAACACTTCTTTCTAATGGGCACCTGTGAGTAGTGACTGGTTATTCTTACCTCACAATACAAACAAAGCTGTTTTTGTACAACTAGCCAGTTGGACACTACTTCTGTGGAGAACATAGGGCGCCTAGCTTCGCTTAACAGCTGATATATCTTATTTCAGCCGGCAATAAAAACACGCAACCGCGATAGCGAGGAGCGTGTGCGATCGACGGTCAACTAAAAAAAAAAAAGATCTATGATAAATTTATTTCACTAGTATTAAAAGTGTCTATTTCATCATCCGCATATTGAACTCACGTCCACATCTGGACCTGCAATCTGGGTGGAGAACAAACCTAGGTACATAAAACACTAGTTCCTTAGAACGCGAATAAAATCAAGAAAGCCATCATCAAGCAGAACAGACCCATGGCCTCACTCAATGCAAAACCAAGGATAGCATAGGTGAACAGCTGTCCCTTCAGGCTTGGATTTCTTGAATACGCCAGTGACAAACTCCCGAATACGGACCCAATACCTGCACCAGATCCAGCAACCCCAACAGTTGCGGCTCCAGCACCAATGTATTTGGCTGCCTGATCAATATCTTTACGTACAGCAGACACATGAAAATGGCTTGAAGGGGTGATAAAGGAGACAACGGCTGGTGATGGGCTGCAAGACATGGACCTCATTACATCGAGGACTGTCGGTCTGAGGACAGCATTGAGTCGAGTAATTGGAACCTGGAACTAAAAGAAGGTACGGTAATGGATATCCATCGAATCAGTGGGGATCACAATCACGAACACTGAACAGTAACAACTCACCATCCCAACGACAATATGCGGAACTCGGCGACAAAATGAAGGACCGCTGCAATGACAGACGTTCCCAACAGATTAAAACAAGCAAACCAACCATAGCATGTCCATTTCTTTCTTATGCTGAGTTTGGAAATTTAGACGGTTGACTGCTTCTTGACAAAAAGTAAATGTGAAAATAGATGATATCTTCGACTTTCATGAGCCAGAAAAATTCAATAGAAGTGGTTTCAAATAATTGGTAAGGAAATAAAACAGTCTTCTGTTTACCTAGCTTCTGAGTCTTAAAGCCATCGGACACAAGTTCTTCTACTTCTTGACTTACGTAGAACGCAGAGAGAGGAAGAGAACAGTCAAATAGGGGGAGCAAGTTACTAATGGTCCAACTAACACCCACATAACAAGTACATGCAGGTCAGTTCTTAATGCATTCTGATAAGGTAAACTGAACCACAACTGTAGAGAGATTACTTCAGAAGACAGAACCTCGTAGGGAGCGATATTCTGTCTGATATATCGCCCGCTTTATTCCAGACCTAACTTTTGTGTTACTGGTGGAAGAGTGGAGCTAAAACTGAAGGTGAGTTAGTGACGAAGTTAGTGTCCAGAGTCATCTAGAATAGCGTATGCTACTACCTACTCCCCTCTTAACCTTCTTCCTCACGGAGGCCACAGACCTAGCAGCACTATTTTTTGGTGGGACCTTTGGGTTCCAAGTCCTGGAACACATTTGGTCAACTTCATGTGAAAGCGGCCTGAACATTTTTTGTCCCTGTAGAGTGAGAGGGAGGAAACCATGATTATGAGCTCTAGATGAACCACTGATGGGGTTTTAATAACCTACTGAAAGTGTATATGACTGAACTGCTCAAAACTTCGTGCGAGGATAAGTGGTGGCGAGTTGACACGAAATGCTTTTCTATCTCGGTCAGCAAAGGATTTCACGACTTGAGATAGTTAAACTCCTGAATCCTCCGCTCCCTAAAACCAGCGTTTGGTGCCACTGAGACCATATGCATGACATGCACCATGTTTTACGAATATCTACTTGCATTTTCCAGGTTTCAGTGGTAGTCTTTCGTTGTTTTCTAGGCTCGGAATACCAATGCTTTTACGAAACCCTACCTTCCCAGCCACCAATTTTTCGCCATTGTCCTACGTCTTGGGTTTCAGGGTGGATCTCAACATAAACCTACTGAATTGACAGTTTTTGTAGACTGAAAGAAAAAACCATGGCAGTGAACCCTGATGAACCGCCGAGATATTCCATCTCTTCAAGCATGGAAAGACGACCTCGTACTCTGAAACTACGACCTCGTAAGTCTTGATTAAGGCAATTAGTCAATGTTGCAGGTTACAAATAGGTAATGTCAGTTCCCTCTCGGCGGTCAGCAATACTGGCTCACTTGCATGCTGCTGTTGGTAAGTCAGTAGTGCAGCAGCACCCTTCCCTAAATCCATCCCGCGGGTTCACGAAGAAAATGTTATGAATCGGTGACTGTCTTACTATGGGTGTGGATGTCAAGTTCGCCCACCTTAAAATCCTTCTGGTGTTTCCCTGGCTTTCTTTGAAGATTTTTGGTGCGCGATAGAAGCAACAGGGACTAGGTACTACCTTTTAATTTAGAGAACCTTTTCACATTTTACTAAGAGGTTCAACCGGAAGTGGAGCCTCTTTGCGGCAGAGCAACCGAATGCAGTTTTCCCGCTCTCAAAGAAGCATCCTTCCTGCTCAGAAGCGAAGTATACTGCACCAACTCAACGAGAATCGTGCTTCGTCAGTGGCATCTTCGTACACCCTTAAGCAGGTGGTTGGCGATTAAAAGACTTCCAAAAACAGATCATTAAAGGATTTCATGGCTTCGGCGTCCCTAGTAGTAAGCCTATCGGGCCCTATCAGTTGAGAGACTTCTACTTTGGCTTGCTAAAATGATTCAGCATAGAGGAACAAAATCTTCTGGTCAGAAACAATCATTTTCATTGGCCAAACATGATCTCGCTTCCTACTGGCCCTGAGTTATTTTGTGACGATGCTACTTGTCTGATTTAAGTTGTATGTGTGTTCTGCACCGTTTGTTTTGTGCCCAGGCGAATGGTATCGTTGCGGCCCGAGTGGTTTGCAAGCATGGTTGCCTATAACATCAGGTAACTTAGAGCGATTTAGAGCTGAGAGTAGAACAGGCTAGCCAGTGGCATACATGGTTTTGTGGAGTCTGAATCCGTAATGGACTTTCATCCCCGTTAAACATGGATGGATTTCCGATCCGTTCGTTCCAGATTTCCTCGGAGATCTAAGACATTCAGTCGTTGAAGCCCCAAAGAAAATTGACGTACGGTTGAGTTAGTTCAGGTTTGTGAACATGCTGGAAGCCGCTATTGATACGGTCGCTCCTGACGGAGGGAGGGAGGATCGTGAAATCATCAACCAATAACTCTTCATTTATTAGGATGCATTTCAAGTAAGGTGTGTTCTGTGTGTCGTTTCATGGAGTTACCATTCTCACACTTTTGTTTGGTCCTAGTTCTTAAAGAGGGCCGGAGAATAGGGTTTCAGTGGAGGTCACGCTTCCCCTAAATGTGTCTTATACTAAAGCAACCTTATCATGGTTCATGCTTCCTAAGGTTAAGATGTGTATATCCCCTACTTTGACATAACAGCCAGTTGCATCTGACATTCAGTTATCACAGTGAAAATCCTGACAACGGCCCATCCTAGGCGTCATCCTGGTAGAAGAAAGCCAGCCTTGGAAATACGGGCTACTCAATATCTGTTGGATCAGGACTGCGTGAATGCCTGTTTTCTACCACTGGCCTGAAATAGTTCGGCTTTAGTTGTATTGTGTCCTCTGAGCTGGGTTGTTTACTCGTGAAGCTTTCATCGTCCTTCTAGACGACATCGTCAGCACTAACTTCAGTATGAAGTGAGCTGTCAATATCTCTCCTTGAGTGTTTTAGCAGCTTGCCTTGACGAAGCGGCCCATAATTGGGTGTTTCCTTTGATCGTTGTGTCATTGACTGTATAGATTTTCCTGCTGGCTGTCCCTCTGCTTGACCGCTGGCCTTTCCATCGTTTGTCATCTTTCTTATTGGTTGATAGATCGGGTCTATGTCCATACATCTATTGATTGCTGACTGACTGATCTGAATGCCAAGCTTCTAGGAATTCTCTGGTATTTTTTGTATTTCTTCCATCCGAAATTTCTACATTGTTGACATTGAATTCATGTCCATCGTTGTTATCCATGTGCACTGAAATGAGTGATGAAGTGTCGTAGCGTTTAGTAGCCAATTGGTGTTCATATAGACGAAGGTGAAGAGGGCGACCGCTTTTCCCTATGTAATGTTGACTGCAGTTATCGCAGTTGGTTTTGTAAATGATATTCGGTTTGTCTTCTTTGGTTGTTGCATCCTTTGGCTTGCATGATACTGCTTGGCGGGAATTTGCCGGTTTACGGGCCACACCAACCCCAAGTGGTTTCACTAATCTTGTCGTGATTTCTGATACATTCTTTATATATGGCAGGATGAAGCGTTTGTTGATTTGTGGAGATGACTTTGTAGTTGATGATGTATGGGATAGGCATTTTGTGATAAAGTTTCGTGGGCAGCCGTTCTTCTTTAGAGTGAGTATCAAGTAATTTTCTTCGTTTCTCCGTGAAGTTGTCGTGGTGCAGTGTGTTCTTGCTGTTTTGAATAGAGTCTGTACGCAACTGATTTTGTGTGTCGTTGGGTTGTTGCTATTGTAGTTGAGGATTTGGTCAGTGCATATTGGCTTCCTGTACACTTGGCTTTCCAGCTCCCTCGTATTTGTTCCGTTGAGCAGAACATCCAGGAATGGTGGTTGGTTGTTTGACTCTTTCTCCATTATGAATTTGATGTCACTGAAAACGATGTTGATCAAACTGTGGGTGTTTTCTATATCATCTTTTCTAATGATGACAAGCGTGTCGTCCACATAGCTAGCCCAGAATTTTGGTCTGATCACAGGTAGGATGATGACTTCCAGTCTCTGCGTCACTGCTTCTGCAAATAATCCGGATATCGGTGATCCCATTGGAGTTCCATTCATCTGTTTGTATACCTTGCCGTTGAATTGGAAGTATGTTGTCATGCACAGGTCAGTGAGTTCTATCAGACTTGAACATTTGAGTTTTGTGCCTTCTCAAAGGCTTGCTTCCTTCGTTGATCAGCGGGAATATGGTTTCCTTAGACAATTTGGGTTCGATGGATGTGTATGGTGCTGTGACATCGAAGAATATCGTTAAATCATCATTTACTTTGTTAGTGTTTTTGATCTTTTCTAAGAATTCTGTTGGTGACTTGATGGAATGTCCGCATGATTAGAAGGGGTGTTTCAGTTTTCTCGAAAGTTCTCTTGATATGTTGTATGTTGGAGTTGCCGGAAGTGAGACAATTGGTCATAGAGGGATGTCTGGCTTGCTTAGTTTCGGTCTGCCGTAGGACCGAGGAAAGATAGGTCCATTCGATTTCACCCTCCATTTGTCTTGCTCTATTATTTTTTCTTCTTTGAAGAGTTTGTTTAAGGTTTTATTGATCTGGTTATCGAACTTCTGGATGGGGTTGCTTTCAAGTAGTTGATATACATTTTCGTCTCTGAGTAATTCCTCTGCTTTCTTGATGTAGTCTTTATCCATGATTACTGTAGTGCGCCCTTTATATGATGGAAGTATAACCATGTCTTTGCTATTTTCCAGCCTTTCTTATGTTTTCTGTTCTTGAGTGTTCATTTGACAATGTAATAATATATATATTTCATACAACATAGGTTACGTGAATACAAACCAGTTTACAGGTCTGATCATTTTGGTAATGAGGAATGACTATTGTGTACAGTGCTAAGCTATAGATTAGGTACCACTATTCATGGCATATAAGAGGTGTGTTGAAACACTCCCAGTTCAAAATCAGGAATTATTCGGTTATTGTTTGAATCTTCCAACATTCTTGAGGGTGAGGCCGCATCACAGTCACGACCTTGAGGCGTGCGCGTTCATCATAAGGTTTTGATGGCATAATGCACACTGAGGAATGCGATCTCTAGGATTCCATTCAAGTGCAGGTAAACCTGAAAAGTGAATAACAAAAACGAGCAGCAGGGGAAATTCGAAACAGGA